GTGCAACACAACTGAGAGGGAAACAATTTCAGTGTTTTGCCTCTTTTTCAATGTCACATTGATATGGTTTGACTGGTATGTAAGAAAAATAAATACACTGTGCTTAAGATACTAAGACTCATAATAATGCAATGTTGGGCATGATATTAACCTGCAGTTCTCAATAAAGTAGATTTGACGTCCTGATTCAAGTTAGGTCTATTTCTTGAAACAAGATGATACATCTTTTACAAATAACACAGCAGCTTAAAACATTTATAAAATGCCAAAAAAGCTTGTTTCGTGTGAGATATGACTCAAAACAATATGTTTTCAAGAGTTTTTCACTTAACAAGATATCCAAGATGCACTGTCTAAAAACAAGTTCCTATGTCTCACTGAAACGTTACTCTTTAGCTGATTATGGCTTATTTTAAGTGTGATTAGATATTTTGACTTGAAATAAGACAAATATACTTGGTAAGATTTTGAGTTTTTGCAGTGTGTTGGTAAATTAGATCGTGTGATTGGATGAAGGATCTGACTCGTCATGAACTTTGGGGGGAGGAGCAATAACGTCAGACTGTGGTGAGAGTACAGCAGACTGGCAAAGATTTGTTTCAAGGTAAGTGCAATCCTAACCACTAATTCTTTCCTTTTGTTATGATCCTAATCCTTAGTCCTTCCAATGATACAATACAAATAGCTAAACTTCCATAATTTTCATCCCTGTCCCTGGACATTCCAGTTATGTAATATACATCACTAATGCTTCCAACATTGTGCTGATGTCCTCTGTATGCAGTGTGTCTTTGGAAACATGCCACGCTATGTGCACCAAACATCTGAACTGCATTTAACGTTTTTGTTTATATTTTATGTATTTTTAAACATAATTTCTCTTTCAACACAGTATTGCAAGTCCTTAGTCAAGTAGGCTCCTCACAAGAAGAGGAAAATGGATAGAAGAGGGAGGACTCCAATTCCTGAGGACCCTGTGAAAAGCAATAAACCACCACTGGTGGAAAAAGATGACCTGGAGTCACAGGATGAAACTAGGAAGTTGGAGATTTCTGGAGCCGTTAAAGAGCCTCAGTCGAGCAATGATGGTGTGCCAGTGAATGTAAGTTAACAGAGTAACACAGCCAACAAGAAATGAAATATCAGATGAAATGAGTTACTGCAACAAATACTAAGAATCTCCTCTCTTCATTTGTCTTTGCAGGCAGACGGTGTTGCTGATGGGAAAGGAAAATGACTGCCAATAAAGACACACAAACATAGCTACACACACACGAGCATGCATGCACCTGCACACATATGTTCATAGACAACAATGTTCAGATAAAGTTCAATAAAGTTCTTGTTGTTCAACTGCAAAATCCTGTGTTTTCTTTCTCACACTGATGGAGGATGGGAAAAGTCCACAGTCATGGTATTCAAAAAGAATATAATGCAAAGATTTGCAGCTGAATCACAACATGAGGAGCAGCATTGTAATGGAATCCTTCTTATATAATACTGTTATATACCTACTTACTACTTGAAGCACTATAGATTAAAAGTCCCATTTTAACTGTAGATTAAAACAACACTTAAAAAAACAAGTTTAATAATTTGTTTGAAAAGGTGTAATTCCAGATTAAAGTTACAGTACACTAATAAGATTCACAAAACAGATTCACTGAATGTTATTTATTATAATTACAGAAAAGACTCCAAGCGAATCATCTTCAATTCCAAGTACTAGTACCTGGTAATATAGGCAGAATTAATAATTTGATTGGCTGAAAGGTCTGTGTAGTCATGAGTTTGGGTGGGAGGGGCAGTGATGTCAGAGTGTGGTAAGAATACAGCAGACTGGAAAAGATTTGCTTCAAGGTAAGTTCAATCAAAATCACTAATGCTTTCATTTTTATGATATTAATCTCTAGTTCTTCAAATTTTTAGAATACAAATCAATAATTCTTCCAGATTTTCCATTCTAATATTTAGATCTTCCACTTATAGAATAAAAATCACTAATTCTTCTAAGATAGTAATGATTATTTCCTCTGTATGTGTCTTATCTTTGGAAACTTGGCTTCATCACATGCAGAAGAAGGAAGAACAATGTCAGGTATGTACAAGTGTTAGTTCTACATATGTTTGATTCCTGAGATTCAGTGGTCCCACATGGTATTCCAAAGATTTTTATTTGTGCTTCATGCAGTGGAAATACAGCTGCAAAATGCTGACAATGAAGTGCGCATTGGTCTGAGCCTACAAGATGAGAATCTTACAGGAGAACCTTACAGGCAAGAGCAGTTTGACTTTGTTATACAGAGATACTTACCACAATAAAAGAATACATCCACTAACATCTTATCCTCATAAACGTTTTAGATGTACATGTGGGCAATTATTGGATCCATTGACCTGGTGGATACTACTTGCAGTTGCAGCTGCAATCATATTATTCTATATGGTGGTCTTTCTCCTGCTCCATTCCAACAAATACATCTAAGTAAATAAATGCAGATTAAAAGGAAGTTCAATAAAGTTTATTTCTTTACAAATATCAAAATTGTGTGGCTTCATTCTCACACTGGGTTAATGCGGGATGTCAAAGGTTGTCTAACATCAAGATTCATGGTGGTTCAAACTGCAGACAAGAAAAGAAAACTACAGGTGAATCCAAATGTGATGCTCATTGTTGTTCCCAAGACTAAGTAAAAAATGCAATTTAATATATTTGTACTAATCTTTAGCTGTTAGACTACTAAAAGCTGACAGGGGTCGTTTTGATTCATATTTATGATCATTAATTTTTATAGGTTGTGTGAATGAGCAGACAAAAATGGCCCTTTTTGGGATTAATAAAGTTATGTGATCATGATTAATAATATAAATACTACTACTACTAATAATAATAGTAGCTTAGTTAAAAAGAAAAAAAATAAACTTTGGGCATTTGTGCAACATTTTATTTAATAGTACAGAGTCAAAGTTTATTGTTTTCTTTTACAAGGTATAATTTCAAATAAAATGATTCCTAATGGTAGGTGTGCAAATCTTGTTATTAAGTTAGTTGTATTAGTTACACATAAAATTCCTAATGGGTATTCCTATTTTCCAAGATCCAGTATCCTATAAAAGACAGCAGAATTCAGTGTTCTTATTCGCTGAACGGTTGTTGTATAACAGCAAACTTTGGAGGAGTGGCAGTGGAAACAGGCTTGAATTAGGAGTCCATGTTGTTACCTTTTAGGAGAAGATGGAGAAGATGGATTTATTTGAAGGTTCTCCAATCAGAGTTAGTAGATCAAGCTGGAACCAGGGAGGTTGTTGCAGCTCTTCAGGGGTCTCAGTTTCAGAGCAATGACGATCCATCCACTGTAAATTCATGGAGCACAGGAACACAACAAATCATTAATAAAAAATAAAAAATAAAAAAAAAGATTGCAAAAGACACTTAGAATCGCCACCATAAATTTGTCTTTGCAGCCAAGGAGTTCTAATTATGGGAAAGAAAAATAAATGCTAGACAAGACATACAAACATGACCACCACACACGCACGCACACACACACACACACGCACACACACACACACACACACACACACACACACACACACACACACACACACACACACAAATAGTTAAGAGGTCAAGATTAGTCAGAAATATATATCTAATTGGTTGGTGATTGATTATTCATTGTCAGAAGTGAACTCATTTCAATTCAGTTTTGTTTAGTGCCATATAGTGCCAAATTCCACCAACAGTTTCTTTGAGCTGCTTGGAAAGGTAACGACCCTTACAATAATATCAAGAAAACGGAAAAAAAATGACTATGGCCCTTGTGAGCAAAAGTTATGGTGACAGTGGCAACGAAAACCTCCCTTTTAACAGGAAGAAACCTCCAGCACTACCAGGCTCACAGAGGGTCTGCCATGTGCTGTGACCGGCTGGGATTCTGTCTGCATATCAATTCAATTCAATAAAACTTTATTGATCCCAAAGGTTGACCACGAAGGAAATTGGTTTAAGGGTTCCGACCTTTTGCGAGCGCCAGCCTACCCTTCTGACCATACATACATTACACAAACATCACATGGGGAAGACAGGTTTGAGAGGCATAACAATGGAAAATCCACAACACGAGGAAAGACGAGGAGAAAAAAGAACTCCCCCAAGACTGAGCTCACACAGGGAGATCAGTTTGAGAACAGAAAGAAACACATCAGCACATAGCAAATGAATCATCACATCTCACAACATAGAAGACATAAGCTTCGAAGGTGTTTGGCAGGGATGGGGGAGGTGGGTGTCTGTGTCAGTGTGCGTGTGAGTGTGTGAGTGTGTGTCCTGCTGAGAGAAAGTGTCCCT